ATCCTGACATTAGTGTTTATTGTAACTTGATCCTCATCCTAAAAATTTGAATATTCAAATTCTTAAACCTTTTAATGTTGAAGCAGCACTTCTAGTTGATAAAAACCTTCGAATTTGCCACTAAAAATTCAAAGTTTTACAAAAAAATGGTTGAAACCCTATGTTTATTGAAATAAATGAAATGAAAAAAGAAATAAACAAAACAGAGAAACAATAATAATAAAAATAAATGACCTTTTCCCTCCATATTAGCCCTTGCACTTGCCATAGCCACCAGCTCAAATAAATCAATGCAAGTAAATCAATACCTAAAGCTCTCTTAGGGTGGAATTCTCTAAATATTTCAATTTAATTTAATTAAAATGAGGATTCATCTGTCTTTTCAATATAATTTTACTTTTGGACAACAAATTTAATGATTCCTACGTATAAAGATTACTGCTGCAGTGAAATTGAAAAGATTGAGAATTAACCAAATTTAAATTAAAAATCAAGTTTTTATGAGTACTTAAAGTTGGGAAATACTGATGTAATTTATAGTAATTTTTGTTTTTATCTATATTATGATTAAATTTTTTGACTAACTGTAATAAATAAACTGAATAATTTAGGTTTGAATATTTATGTTATAATACATAATGGAGACTGCGCATTACTTATATGGCCCATTTCAATATAAAGTGGTTTCCCACCCACAAAAATCGTATCGTAATTCAGTTCATTTGGAAACTTAACAAGTGAGATATGAAATATTATTCTATAATCGATAAAATGTCCATTTCAAACTACTGTTAATCTACTGCTAAGGTTTGTTTCTTGTATATATTGGTGTCTCAATCAACGCATAAAACAAAAACCAAGGGCCATTCACTTAACCTAGACATAATTAGAGGTATAAAATACTTTAGGAAAAATTACAGTTACGATGTCAAACTTTTCATTTAGTTGCAGCTTATATCCAAACCTTTCATTTGTATTGCTCACAATCCCAAATCTTTTCAATTCGTTGTAGCCGAAAAACAAATGGACGAATCGATAAAAAGTCAACAAGATAAGTAATCCCGACCTTATCTTCGCTGGTTGTTAAGCTACTGAACCTTGAATACATATCACGTGCCAAGGAACGCCTAGAGGCTAGCATCGATGAGCTCCACCCATGGAGGGAGATGTTTGAACAGCAGGCCTTCAACCTTTTGGAATCATTCTCCAATGTTGTTACTTCCAGATGAAATACACCATCATAGTCCTTTTAATAATCTTTGGCATCCAATTTCGCTTATAACATTCATTACTACAAGGAAAGAAGATAAATCCATCTTATCATCATCCCCAAATCCTACCAAGTCACCTTGATTCGTTATTTGTTCATATCAATTATTTTATTTTATTTAGTCTTTATAATTGAATTTCCTGTTATTGATTTGTATACTTGTATATAAATTACTATACAAATGAAATTATCTTTACCATTCTGCAAAAATATTGTTTCAGTTCTTTTAATTATCATGATGGCTATATAGCTTTTTCGCATTTCCTACATATAGCTCGTAATTATTGGTATACTGATTATTGACAAGGTGTTGCTTTCTATCCTATTTTGACTTGTGCCACCACCAATATTCTAGTAGTGCTTCTTATGGGAGTGATTGTGGCGCTTATTCACTCGACGATAAGGAATATTGATGATTTGTTCTTGGATGAGGCTGTCGAAAGTTTGTTGAGGTCTCTTCGTGGTGATCCTTGAATTTGAAGTATGAAGTTGTTTAATCTCTTTTTATTATTCATTTTTTCAATTTTTCACTCCACTCATTGTTTGGCTTTGAGTGATGACGGTGGTCAAGCACTGGCAATGACGGTGGTAGCAGTTGAATGTAAATTGCAGCAACATGAACGGTTTTGGACCGTAACTACAATTTTCTCAATAATTTATCCTATATTTTCCTCTGTGGCTTCCATATTATGTTAAAAAAGACATCATATATATAGAATGAAACTAGCTATTCACAAGGCAAATTGAGCCATATCTGATAAGGTCTGGACATTTGCATCTGTAGATCAAAAAGAATGATTATTCACTTTAACCTAAGGGTATCTTAGATTATAAATTTTTTTTTTTGTCCAATAGCCTTGATGGTCATTTTAGGAGTAATTATATTCGAATCATAATTTTTTATTTTTTTACACCATATTTTAATTGCATTTAAAGTTTTCAATCTTTCTTTATTATGCACTTATGTTCTTAACGATTTTTCATATCATTCTTATCATCAAACTTTTCATTAGTTAACACATTTTATATTTGATAACAGTTTTATACTCAAAAATCCATTGAAATAATGTAAAAAAATTATTTTTTTGTCATATTTAAAAAAAAATGGGAAAAAATATTTTTCCCTCATTCAAAGCATTAAAATAAAACATTTTGATTTAAATCATTTAGGACGAAACATACTAATTAATAAAATGTTGAAGATAAAAATTTGACCAAAAAATTAATAAAATAATGCTACAATGACCAAAGATTGAAGAGTTTAATTGCAATTAAAAATACGACGTATTAAATAAAAATTGTGATGGCAATATAAACATCTTTACGGTAGCATTTATATGTCAACTTGTGCTATTTATTTCGATACTTTCTTATTTTATTTTTAGCAAAACCTTACAAGTCTTGTACATTTTTGTGTCTACACGTTGGTTGGACTTTT